CATATTATTGAAAGCACTGTAAATTTTATGTTACTATCTTCAGTGAATCTTAGAAACATGCCTCATTTATTCACCTCACTATTCTTTCTCAATCAAATTATACAGGAACATCAAAAACCAGTTTCTTTAACATTATTTTAAAATGTAAAGAAAAATACACTGTCTTACCTATAATAGTGAGGTTCCTGTAGGTCTCAATCATCCCATCTTTGTAGAGATTTTTCTGGGAAGGATCCAGCAAAGTCCACTCTTCCCAAGTGAAGTTGATATGCAAATCATCATAAGTCACTGCATTCTAAAAGATCCCATACATATGTACAGCAGGAAGCATGGTACTGAGAATATTACAAATATATACTTCTTTGACAGTATATTCATACAATTCTGGTGCTCCTCATACTTATTTCCTGACATACATATTATAATGTAACCACCAAGTCACTTTAGAAGGAAACTGAATAGGAGGGTAACCACTGTCATTTCTGTTCCCTTTGAACAGGATACCACCTTACAAGAGAAATGCCTATTACCAAACATAGAGACAAGGAAACTGATGAACAGTACAGAGTACACATGAGAGAAAATGTATGAACAATAACTAACTACAGAGAAGAAAATAAGATGGACAAACTGGGTGTATTGTCTCATGACTTTAACCCCAACACTCAAAAATCAGGTGCAGGTATAGCTGCCTCTGACTAATTGCCAGAATAGTCTATGCAATCAGGTCCAAGAGAGACAGAAACTAGATGAGCAATTGTCCTTGTGGTAGGATGGAGGAGTATTATCGGGTATATGCACAAGGGAAATATATCTGGGTCTTGAGGTAGTTTGACTCCCAATTTTCTAAGAATTGCATATTGCTGTCCACAGTGCCTGTACAAATTTCTTTTGTGATAGCAATGAATCCCCTTGCTCCGTGTACTTGCTAGCACTAGCTGTCACTTTTGTTATTGATCTTAACTCTTCTTGTAAATGTAAGATGAAAGCTCAATGTAGTTTCCATATGCATTTCCCTGATGGCTAAGGATGTTGAACATTTCTTAAGTCTTTTTCAGCCTCTTTAGATATCTCTACTGAGTATTCTGTTCAGACATGTACCTCATTACATTTACATTACATTACATTACTACATTACATTACATTACAAAGCATTGCTTTGTTGTTGTCTAGTTTCTTGGGTTCTTTATTATCTTGTGTGAGAAGACACAGAAGCATATGTTGTTGTACTCACTTATATGTGGAAATTAGCTGTTAAGCAAATTACAATCACAGTAAAAATAGTTAATCACATTACAATCCATAGATGCATAGAGGCTATGTAATAGGAGCAGCTCTAGGGTATATGCATTAATCTTGTTGAGAGAAGAAAATAGAATAGACTTTGTGGGTGCACTGGAGACAGTTGGGGATGTGAACAGGAAGTGTCAGCTGAGTAA